CAAACGGAGGGTAAAATATAAAATTAGTACATCCCTCAATTGTCGCATTCCATTTAACAAAGCAATTTGATAGTCAAATTTAATGGAAATAAACTCAGGGTAAATTTGTCACAGGTATACCAGTTTGGGGTTTTTGGTGGTTAAAAAATAAGTTTGGGGTAAAGTTGTCATATGCATGCCAGTTTAGGGTTTTTCGCGATATTAACCCTTTTTTTTTATGGAGGATCCCTATTGATAAGTCATAAGTAGCCATCAATGACTCAAATTCCTAATGTCCATTCAATTGCAAGACTTCAAACTAGCTCAGCACACTCTCTACAATGCCGAAAAGGATCGATTTGGTCATTTTCTTTTCTTGCCATTAGAAAATCAGTAGGGGGCATTGAGAGAGAGAGCTTCGTGAACCGCAGTTAATGAATGCCAATTTTCGTCTCGTCTTTGACAGAGGATCATAATGGCTAAACTTAAAACCGTTCCAACCAAAAAGATCATTATGTTTTTAAGCAATGGAGCGAATATTAAGGTTTTAATATGGTGCGACTCGACCATTGGTTCTTCTAGGACATATGGGCTACCTTTTTGTTTTCTCATTTTCAGGGTGAAAACCGGTTTCAGCTTCGAGTGATTCTGATTTGGCTAAATCTACAGACCGAGCCCCCTCAACCTCATTCTCATCTTTATGATATCCAATTTGGGCAGTTCTATGCACTCTAGCGTAATCATGAAATCAACTGAGGAGGTGCTGACCTTATGAGGAACCATGGCATACACAATCATAAGTCCAAACAAAAGTGCTTGGGAGACTAAATCTGATGAAGGCTTTGAGCAAATAAAAAAAATTTATTGTTCGTACGATTGGCTTTGTGAATTCATATTCTAAGATTCAGTCTTAGGAGAAAAAGGATAGGAAAAATCTAATCTTCCTATGTTGAAGTGAAGTAAAACAAATTCAAAACGAAAAAGACATGGTTTTTAAATGCATTAATTCTGGGAATCTCTTTAAGTAGTCTAGTGGAATAATTACAAAAAGATCGAGTAATTGACGCTCATTTACCAAAAATAAAATTTAATGGAATGGCATGATGTCATTCATTGTCTATGGATGAAGGATAAATATCGATATAAGAAAATTCAAATAGAAATAATGCGACAGTCGGTCTCATACAATACGAATTAGGTGTTTTCTCCATAGAGAAATTTCCAATACAAACACAAACGAATAATAAAAAAGTGCACTCATTCAAGGAAATAAAGAAAGACATATAATATTAACAACTATTGTTTTCATCCATGAAATGAAAGAGATTGACGAAGAATTAGCGGAGTATACGGCCAAATCTTTGCGGAGATCCACATGGCGTGTCAAATAGATCTTGGGAGTTCACCTGCGCTCCAAAGAGAAAAAAAAAATGAGCTTAGAGTATTTACAACACAGTATTATGGCATTTATTGTGGTGACGTACGGATTTGCCATTTGAGGGCATGTATCTACCATCCTAAGTCACTACCTGGCAAACCCCTGCCTCACTCATGCCATTTTTCATGACAAATAATTACAAATATTCAATTTAGTGACAAAAGGATGTACTATTTTGTAGAAATATTCTTAACCACATAAATTTTCTCGTTTTTCTATTACATGTTACATCTTAACAAAAATAAAGAGGGTAAATTGATACATAAGGAAGTTCCAAAAGTGGCCCCGCATTTAAGGAATTTTAACTTTACGCTTTTTGTTATTTAAACAGAAATAAAAAAAAATGAAAGCGGTCCAATTGCTCTAAGTGACCCTTGATCTTACACATCTCTTCCTAGCATATAACAATATTATATGTTTATCTCCAATTCTTTTACAAAATTTCATGCGAAAAATTACATTGTGCTTGCAGTTAGGAAAGCATTTTTATGGCCATGGCTTCATTCACACGCATCGTTTGTGCCCCTATGCTAGTGCATTTTGAAAGAATGTTGTTGGAATTTTTTCACTTTGTGAGAGTTATTGGATTAAATCTGATTGTGCAAAGTAAAAAACCTTGGTGAAATAAAAATGTATATTACAAACATAATTAGAAAGTAGTTATAAGAAGTTGAATTCCTTTTGCAATCTAATGACCTGATATTGATTGTATCTTAGTAAATATTTTTTTCATATCACTTTTTCCTTTTCTAATTGCAATACTTTAATTAAATTTCAATTCAATTGAAGAATAAAGTGAATCGCTATATTACATCTAAGAACAAAGAAGATATAGAGAGGTGCTTACCTAATCCTCCGTCCATTGTACACGAATACCATCAAGTTCGATTCGAGGAATTTTTGCGATTTTGGGCCAATCCTCGCCTGTTGTTGGTCGACATCTCTCGCTCAGTTGACCACAATTTTCGACACGTAATTCTTTGAGGGCAGCGAGGGACTGGATTCCTTGTGGCATAGATGATAAGTTGGAACATCGGATCAAGTGAATTAATCTGAGACGTGTATGATTGGGAAGCCATTCAGGTACATCAGTCAAGGTCGGGCAGTCATAGACAGAAAAGAACTCCAAAGCGCAAGCAGACTTATCGAGACATTGGAGCACCTCCATCACTTGTTCGGACCTTGATATTGCTAGCACACGAAGATTCGAAGGAAAGTTGGACTTGTTATTGTCGGTCAACATGAGCTTGCAATTGTCAATATTCAAGTACTCTAGGGCAATTAATTCCACAAACGGCAGAGAAATTGGTTCCCCACAATCTTCAATTTCCAACTTTCGAAGGTGAGTCAGTTGGCCAGTACCTTCAAACAAAACCTGAAGATTTGGGCATCCGGTGAGTCCCAAAAATTGTAGATTTTCCAGGTATTGTATTCCACATTCTTGCAGACTCTTCTGCTGTGTTGTTACGTATAGATTTCTAAGGCTGACGAGCCTCTTCATATTTTTGGGTAAATAGCCTAGCTTTGAGCAATGATTGAGTAATAAGTGTAGCAAACTCTGCAGCTCACAAATGGTATCTGAAAGCTTCTTCAATTGCTTGTTTTTAGAGAGATGTAACGACCTCAATTGCTTCAAGTTGCATATGGAACTTGGCAGCTCCTCAAAGCTGCCACATGACAAATCCAGATACCGCAAGTGGTTACATTTGGAGATGCATATTCTACCAAACTCTGTAGTAATAACTCCATCATCAACATCGAATTCAAATTTAATTGCACGGAGCCTCTTTGAAGTTCGCTTTCTCAAAAAAGGTGGGACTCCATCAAAATTTGGGATTCCCTCCAACGAACGGCTAGAGAACGAAATGTACCGAACTCCTTCCGTAATCTCTATAGTATCTAAGCGAACAGCAGAGAAATTATTTTGTGCCACAATCGTTGCAAGAGAATGGACTAGATCGTGCACTTTAAAACTTAATATTGATTCAGACTCATCGACTTCTTGGATCAAAGATCTCTTCCACAACTCTTTGATGTACCCATCGCCAACATCTTCCAAATCTTGTTTTTCCCTTGTTGAACTAATGAGTCCTAAAGCCATCCATATCCTAACTAACCTAGGGCTAGTAATTGCACATCCTTTGGGAAAAAGTGAAAATATGGCAAGACAACATTTTAAGTGAGACGGTAAATGATCATAGCTAAGCTTAAGAACCGGCAGAATGTCCTTCTTTTCTTCCACTAACTTCCATATTTCGCTATCTCTTATATGGGCCCAATACCCTTCTTCGCCCTTTATGTAAAGGAGACTCCCCAAAGTTTTCACAAGGAGAGGAACTCCTTGACATTTTTTGACAATGTCATTTCCAATGTCGAGGAGATCAGGACATGGTTGCTTTTCCTTTTGATCGAATGCCCATTTTTTGAACAATGCCATGGAGTCTTTATGAGAAAGACTGTTTAGATTATGCGCTGGATGGGTACCCATTATAGAAGCGACTTCTAAACTGCGCGTTGTCACAATTATCTTGCTTCCACTAGCTCCTTCGCTCAGCAAAGCTTTCAATTCTTCCCATCTACTGCGGTCGTTGCTCCATACGTCATCCAAGACTAGTAGAAATTTCTTGTCTTTGATGGTGTCTCGTAGAAATGTTTGTGATTGCTGAATATCAAGGTTACTCAAGCTTTGACCAATTGCATCTTTAAGGATTCCGTCAATAGTTTTTTTAAATCAAAGTCCTTAGGTACACACATCCATAGTCGCAACTTGAATTGCTCCTTCACACTGTCGTCATTGTAAATTAATTTAGCTAGGGCCGTCTTGCCCATACCTCCTATTCCAACAATGGGAATCACTACGAGGTTTTTGTCATCTGGCTGCATCAATATCTCAATTATCTTTTGTTTATCAACATCTCTTTCGACGACATCCAATTTGTTTATGAACGAGTAAGTCATCTCTCGTGATCGCAAATGCACCACACCATTGTCAACACTCCGCACACTAAGATCAAATTGATTCTTTTCTATAGAAATTTTAGATAATGTCTCCCTGATCTCCTTGATCTTATGACTAATCTTTGCACGGAGTATTAGCGGATTAGAGAGGGAAAAGAAGTGGTGTACCTTCTCTCTGACACCCCCGTACTGATTGATTACCCGCTTTCGTAAGGCTTCACACTCGAGTTCATCGAGAATATCCTCTGCATCGTATAACACGTCTTGAAGCCGTCGCAGCCACTGTTGCAGGCGATGGTCCTTCGCCTGTTTCTCCTCGGCATCTAACAACACGGCAGTAACAGTGGTCAACGTATTTTCAAGCTCGTGGATCTGATTTTCGAAGCAGCAAATTGTGACGGCTTTTTTGAACGCTGGTGATGCTATCTTCCCTAGCACACCCTGTGCAATGCTGAAAAGGAGTGATTCAGCCATGCTAAGTGACGGGGAAATTGATTCAGGCTATTTGGTTTGAGACGAATCAGAAGAACACACAATGTCTTCCTCTCGTGAGTCAGTTGATATGATGATGGCTTGCTTACAATTGGATGAAAGGGAGGTTCTTTCCTTCCGAGTGGCCTGCAAGTTAACCCAAGCATGCCTTCTGCCTTTTCTTTATCTTGCTTTCCTGGGAACAATAAAGAATCGTGATTACTTCAAAGATCCAATCTCGTCCAAGTATCTATTCTTTACTTGTTTATGTAACTCACCTAAAAATGATTGTCTGTATCACCTGATATAGTTAGATGACCATAAGTTTTTTCATTTTAAAAAATAATTTATGCCTAAACATTTTCGTTGATGATGAAAATACTTTTCCATCAATTCAATTTTGCGAGCAACATAGACGATCATTTTTTGTTAGGAAAATATTTTCTGCATCGTTCATACGGTTCTCTTGGCATTTCATTTTCAGAGATGATCCGGAACATTAATGATGTTAAGAAAAGAATTATTGATCAAACCAAAAGAAAAAATTAAGTTGGGATCCGACGAAATCAATGAAAAGAAGGATGGCACATTGGAGAAGAGTCGAAAACAAATTCTGCCTCAACCATTTGAACCAAAAGCCTATCTCAGTTTCTACGGATTAAATTTAGAGCAAGGCATTGGGAACTCCGAGACTCGTCACTTTTCTTCCATGCCAATCAAACCAAGCAAAGAATCAAAGTGAGATATGGACAAGATCTTGTACGGACGATGGATTGAACTCTTTTGTGATGTGCTGGACCATCACCTTTAAAATTATTAATTAATGATGAGCACCCACCCACTAAAGATTTGAAAAGAAACTCTTTTTTTTATGAGGATTCGTTTGATTCGCGAAAATATTTTCAATTTCCATTTTCATTGAAATTGAGAGTGAAAATAGTTTCATATTCTCGATTTCTATTTTCCTGAAAGTGCGTTCAGTTCGTGGAGAAGAAAACTTTCGATAGAAATGAAACTACGAGAATATGTTTGGTCGTAATATTTTCAAAAGGAGTACCTATCAATCCGTTTCAATTGCCAAGTTGCCCATTAGATTACAATTTGTCGCCGAGAAAGCCCAATAGATCGATCTCACCAAGAAATTTCAGTTTGAACGAAGCCCAAATGCATTTCGGCGAAAGTTTCAAAAGTGGCCCCCGCATTTAAGGGATTTTAACTTTACGCTTTTTGTTATTTAAACAGCTATAAAAAAAATGAAAATGGTCCAATTGCTCTAAGTGACCCTTGATCTTGCACATCTCTCCCCAGCATATAACAATATTATATGTTTATCTCCAATTCTTTTACAAAATTTCATGCGAAAAATTACATTGTGCTTGCAGTTAGGAAAGCATTTTTATGGCCATGGGTTCATTCACATGCATCGTTTGTGCCCCTATGCTAGTGCATTTTGAAAGAACGTTGTTGGAATTTTTTCACTTTGTGAGAGTTATTAGATTAAATCTGATTGTGCAAAGTAAAAAACCTTTGTGAAATTAAAATAAGAATGTATATTACAAACATAATTAGAAAGTAGTTATAAGAAGTTGAATTCCTTTTGCAATCTAATGACCTGATATTGATTGTATCTTAGAGAGGGAAAAGAAGTGGTGTACCTTCTGTCTGACACCCCCGTACTGATTGATTACCCGCTTTCGTAAGGCTTCACACTCGAGTTCATCGAGAATATCCTCTGCATCGTATAACACGTCTTGAAGCCGTCGCAGCCACTGTTGCAGGCGATGGTCCTTCGCCTGTTTCTCCTCAGCATCTAACAACACGGCAGTAACAGTAGTCAACGTCTTTTCAAGCTCGTGGATCTGATTTTCGAAGCAGCAAATTGTGACGGCTTTTTTGAACGCTGGTGATGCTATCTTCCCTAGCACACCCTGTGCAATGCTGAAAAGGAGTGATTCAGCCATGCTAAGTGACGGGGAAATTGATTCAGGCTATTTGGTTTGAGACGAAGCAGAAGAACACACAGTGTCTTCCTCTCGGGAGGCAGTTGATATGATGATGGCTTGCTTACAATTGGATGAAAGGGAGGTTCTTTCCTTACGAGTGGCCTGCAAGTTAACCCAAGCATGCCTTCTGCCTTTTCTTTATCTTGCTTTCCTGGGAACAATAAAGAATCGTGATTACTTCAAAGATCCAATCTCGTCCAAGTATCTATTCTTTACTTGTGTATGTAACTCACCTGAAAATGACTGTCTATATCACCTGGTATAGTTAGATGACCATAAATTTTTTCATTTTAAAAAATAATTTATGCCTAAGCGTTTTCGTTAACGATGAAAATACTTTTCCACCAATTCAATTCTGTGAGCGACATAGACGATCAGTTTTAGTTAGGAAAATGTTTTCTATATTGTTCATACGGTTCTCTCGGCATTTTCATTTTCAGAGATGATCCGCGATATTAATGATGTTACGAAAAGAATTATTGATTAAACCGAAAGAAAAAATTAAGTTGGGATCCGACGAAATCAATGAAAAGAAGGATGACACAATTGAGAAGAGTCGAAAACAAATTCTGCCTCAACCATTTGAACCAAAAGCCTATCTCAGTTTCTACGGATTAAATTTAGAGCAAGGCATTGGGAACTCCGAGACTCGTCACTTTTCTTCCATGCCAATCAAACCAAGCAAAGAATCAAAGTGAGATATGGACAAGATCTTGTACGGACGATGGATTGAACTCTTTTGTGATGTGCTGGACCATCACCTTTAAAATTATTAATTAATGATGAGCACCCGTTCACTAAAGAGATCGGAAAAGAAACTCTTTTTTTTGTCTGAGGATCCGTTTGATTCGCGAAAATATTTTTAATTTCCATTTTCATTGAAATTGAGAGTGAAAATAGTTTCATATTCTCGATTTCTATTTTCTTGAAAGTGTGTTCAGTTCGTGGAGAAGAAAACTTTCGATAGAAATGAAACTACGAGAATATGTTTGGTCGTAATGTTTTCAAAAGGAGTACCTATCAATCCGTTTCAATTGCCAAGTTGCCCATTAGATTACAATTTGTCGCCGAGAAAGCCCAATAGATCGATCTCACCAAGAAATTTCAGTTTGAACGAAGCCCAAATGCATTTCGGCGAAAGTTTCAAGAGTTTCGGATCTAAAAAATTGAAAGTTCTCGAGCCGTAAGACTTAGACTGAGCCAAAAAAATAAGTGAAAGACAAAAGTCGATCCGTATAGTCAGACCACTCTAAACTTTCATGAACCCAAAAGAGAAATTTTAAGATTAATTTGGATTTGCCCCCCAAATTGCATTCATGTGGAAAGCAGTTAATTTGACAAGGGAGCACTTGTTTGTGTCACGTTCTCCATGAAAGCATAAAAGTAATTTTTATAATTTTGTAAAGGGTAAATATGATATACACATATATATATTTTTTAGGGTGGGCACCAAATTTAAATTTAAATTTTATATTAGATGAAAAATGGAAATGAAAAGAAAGAAGAAGAGAATATAGATGTGCTGCTTGGCCAACGTTGGAGTTGGGATTCCATAAAGATGGAAGGAACGTGGGAAACTGTGATGGAGACAGTTGGGAGCCCAACAACATGCATCCTTCTAGAAATTTGGGTCGCTCTTTCCGTAAATCCTCTCGCGAATTCCACCCCACCATGTCCAAAAGTGTTTTTTTTTTCAAATTATTATTACAATTTAGCAAGTATGTTTTCGATATTTTCATGACATGTATAGTTTCAAAGGTTAATACCACGAAAAATCACATACTGGTATACCTGTGAAAAATTTATTCTTAATTAGTTTTCATTAAATTTTACCGTCAAATTGCTGAGTTAAATTACACGTAACAATTGATGGGTGTACCAGTTTGAGGTTTTACCCCACTGTTTGTCACAGACTTACCAGTTTATGATTCTTCGTGGTATTAATCCAATTTAACAGAGGATAACTTTATCACAAGTATATCGGTTTAGAGTTCTTGGTGGTCAAAAAATTAGTTTGGGATAAATTTATTACAAGTGTACCAGTTTGTGGTTTTTAATGATCAAAAAATTAATTTGGGGTAAATTTATCACAATAGTACCAATTTAGAGTTTTTGGTGATATTAACCCTAGTTTTAATAGATAGTGGGAAATATAATGGGAAAATGACAAAAATTGTCTTTAAATTTCGGCTAGATGTGCAATGTTATTTTTGAATTTTTAATTTGTTCAACGTGTTCTTCAAACTATTCCCCAAATATGTATTCTAGTCTCTAAACTTTCAATTAACTCAATCTAATTCCACAACTTTCCATAAAAAAGTTAAAAGTTTCGATAATTACACTATTGCCCGGATTTCAAAATATCTATTTTTTTATAAGGATTTTAGAGTATCTTTTCATTAAATCCATTTCCTAAGTCAACAAAGATAGTATTATCTTTTTACTACTTGTTTACCTTTTTGGTCTTTATAAATATTACAATAGTTGCATTTAAGTATATCAGCTTATGATCTATGTAAAAGTGAAAGTAGAACCTAATTTAAAGTTGTATCGGGTTGATATTCCTAATATTATAAGCTCTTAGTTTAGAAATTTAACTAAATTTAAATAAAAAAAATGAAACACAAAAACTTGATAATTTTATCAATCTGAAAAAATGGGAACAATATTTAAATTTAATATAAGTGCGAAAAATCTATAGATAAATTGTTATCGTAGTTAAATAATCTTATGAAAACACTAATTATTGAAATAAAAAGAATATGAATCCAATATAAACTCTAAATAAGGTTATATTTGTACTATTATAGAGACTATAAGTTGAAATATATTTAAATCGAGCTATAGTAATATTAATAAAGATCAAAAAGGTAAAAAGGCAATAAAAATATAGCATATTTTCTGTTGAATTAGGAAATGGATTGAAATGAAAACTTATGAATATTATCGAAGGACTAATTTGACTTTGTTATGAAAAAATGAGGGACTATATTAAACAATGTGTCATTTTCCGAAATGTAATCTACACGAGCAATTTTTTTTTTTACTTTTGGTCTTGTTTTATTCTAACTCTTAACTCACTGTCAAACTTTTGTTCTACATCTTTGCAGAGCGTGGAAGTCGAACTCCATACCTAAAACTAAATGTCTCCACCCCCAACTTTCCCATCCCCATTTCATATAGGAAGGATGGCCACTTGGGGCAACCCCCAGTGGTTACACGAGCAAAGTTCAAACAATGACATCAATACATATATCCATATGTATCATTCATTCAAATATATATATATATATATATATATATATATATTTTTACATATTTAGAAAGAGATGGCTCCACGGAATATAAAAGTCAAATTGCATTGTGATACAGACAAATTTTGGAAACACAAAATTACAGTAAAAAATTTGACCGGTCTCTTTCTTTCCCCGAAAGAGAGTTGAAAAGTCCGACTTGAACACGTACGCCCCTCGCCAATTGTCCAGCGCACGAGAAGTGAGGGAGCCGTCCGAGCTTCTCGTACTGTCCCACCCAACCCCTACGATTTAGCCAGCCTTTCCACGTCCGATTGTCCAGCGCCGCATCCTACGACTGACCACGTGCCACGTGGACTCCGCTCATTCGTGTCCCCTTCCCCACTTTTTAGGTCCCTATCAATAAGTCGTGGTTAGTCATCAAATTGCTCAGATTCCCCAACCTCCGTTCAATGTCGGCTTTTACCCAAAAACCCGATTTTGATTTGGGCGTCAAAACTTGGGTTCGGAGACGCAAGTGCCCCTTATTTTGAGTAGCTGAGTGGATAAATGTCGATTTCATTTCGAGCTCGTATTGACTAGCGTCCAATTCCGTATGCCTGTGCATGAAAAAAAAAGAGAGGAGATGCCCTTAGGATTGGCGCCGGTTCATTGGGTCGTCCAAGGATTTCCAATTCAAGAACCAAAGTTCGCTCGTTTGAATCCTATCACCACGTGTGAATTGTTCAAGGTCAATATCACTCGCGCACAGGCTAAATTACTAAGTTTAATCGATTCACAGGGCTTTTGCAAGGTATTTCATGAATGTTTGGGTAGCCGGATTTCAATGCTCGTACCCCTGGATTGTCAAAGAAGAAAAGTGGAGAAGTGGCGCTGGTGTGCGAGCGAATGAAGAGAGAGAGAGAAAGTAAAGGAGGCGAAAGTAAATAGATCAAATTCAACCAAACATCAAGAGTGTTGCTAATGCACCGTTTCGTTGTTTTACATTGCACGAGAAGATGAAATTTTAACCCTGATGAGCAACAGATTGGTTCCTCATCTTGCACTTTTATTTATGACATTCCTATCGACATTTGAAGATGGAAATTTCATTAGAACAGAGAATAATCCGATATACTTTTAGAAAATGTCATAAATAATAACGTAAAAAGTAACTATGGATCCTAAATTCAATCAATGAATTGAGAGCCTGAGGCATCCGGCAGCAAAATGCTTGAGATAATAATATTCAGACCGATCATGAGCACACGTGCATCGCACGATTCGCACCAGGCGGCCCCCAGGAAGACCGCGCACGTTATAGCAGCTGAAAACCCCGCGTGCATCCAACTGGGGGGGTGTGGGGCCCGCCCGCCCCGATCCGGCGGTCAACGGCCGTCCGATCCAACCAAAGCGGCCACGCGCCCTTTCGGGAGCGTGTGGGGCCCCCCGCACATGCGCGCACGCCGTCGCGAGCCTTTAAGAGGAGGAGAGCACGAGAGCCGCGAGTCCCGCCACGTGGCCTCCGTTCCTTGACCGCCAAGTCAATGACAGCGAGCTCCGAAAATGAAACTAGTAAAAAAAAAGAAAAAAAGAAAAAGGAAAAGAAGAAAACTCCACCGAACAACGCAACAAGAAAAGGAGGAAGGAGCCTGGAATGATCGCGACGTTGACGATCTTCCTCTGTTCTTTGAACGAACAACTGTTCTCCAACATCGTCGGAACTCGCCCGCCGCAGATCCATCCGGAGCGCCCGCTCGGGGAAGAGATGGGGACCTCGACGACGCTGCTCGACAGGTTCTCCCGCGCCTTCCACGACCACCCCTCCCTCGCCAAGCTCGTCGTCCTCTTCACCGTCAGGTTCATGCTCTGAGGAGCAATTGGGGCCTGTACGCTCGAGTGAAGTGTCTTCATGTCGGTCGACAAGGGGAAGATCGGTTTTACTCGGTCTGAAAGGTGCTCTAAGGAGGACAGTGATTCGAGGGGATGGGTGGTGGCGGTGGCAGTGGTGGTGGCTGGGGTCTTGGCTCGGCTTAGACCCGATGTCTTATGAGATCCGTCAACGTTGGCTTACTGACATCAAAATCCATTCAAGCTGTGTATGCTATAGCTTTCTTTTCATTTTGTGTATAGATTTAGTGTATGTTCTGTTGGAAATATGGGATAAATTGATGGGTGAATGAATGAGAAATTGATGCTCAAAGAACACCCTTGAGTTGGAAGTGGGAAGTGGAAAAACACTAATCCCACATTGGAAAAGAAAGAAGGCTATGTAGCGCTTTATATACAGTTACACTCATTTGAAGTGGTAACTATCATAGCACAAACACTATGCCTCGTGCGCAGACGCAGAGGGGTGTAAATCCGACGCTCGACAAGCTGAAACTTGGGCGCGAGCGCACGTCTCGTGTACACGATTGCAGGACCGAAAAGCAGGCCTCACGACGAGCCCAATTTTGCCTTCTGATTTATTTTTCAACTCAAGCTGTTACAAATTTCAATTTGTAACGTATGATTAATAGCAGGTTAATGGCGTCGTTACGTAATTAATTATATAACGGCTAGCTGTTACGAAATTAATTATATAACGGCAAGCTGTTACGGAATTAATTATATAACGGCAAGCTGTTACGGAATTAATTATAACGGCAAGCTGTTACGGAATTAATTTTATAACGTTTATAACAGCAAGCTGTTACGGAATTCCTTTTATAACGGCAGATTTAATCGGCCGTTATTCCCGATGTGTATTAATTTTGTAACGACCGATTTAATCGGCCGTAATTATTCCCGAAATTCTCTCCCCTCTGTTCTATTTTATCAAAATCATTCTTCCTCTGTTTTACACTCTCTGCATTTGCACAGTTTTCGATAGTGTTCAGTTCCACAATTTGTTCAAGTTCGCCGGAAGTTTTGAAGTGCTGATTACTTCTTAGCCGTCAACCGTTGTATCCTGGGAGATAGACGTTCACGAAACCTCAAACGCGTGCTGAAGGGAACGAATCTATTTTAAGAAAACTGTATCAAACACAGGCCTCGGTATTCATTTGTATCGATTCCAAATTTGTTATTGCAATTTCGTTTCTTTACAATTCTGTATTGTTTGTAATATTTATACTAATGCCGATTTGAATTTCGCAACAATCTTAAAACAGATTCGTGCTTTTAAAAATTCAAATGGCTACTGGGAACGAAGTCGTGGATGTGGCTGCTGGAAACGTTGGTGTCGATGTGGCTGCTGACAACATCACCAAAAACTCTGCCTATGCCTCGGCTGTCCAACTGCATGGCTCATCCTCTGTTCCTTCTGCGTTTTCTGTCCACCATGTTGAGAAACCTGAAAAGTTCGATGGATCGAACTTTAAAATGTGGCAGCAAAAGATGTTGTTTTATTTAACAACTTTGAATCTTGCGAGATTCTTGACTGAGGAAGCTCCTAAGTTATCCGATGGAGAAACGGATAAGCAAGCCTTCAACGCTGTTGAAGCATGGAAGCACTCTGACTTCCTTTGTAGGAACTATGTCATGAATGGCTTACATGACTCATTGTACAATGTCTATTGTGCAAAAAAGACGGCAAAGGAGTTATGGGAAGCCTTGGATCGGAATTATAAAACAGAGGATGCCGAAGCAAAGAAATTTGTTGTCGGTCGATTCCTTGACTATAAAATGGTGGATTTTAAGACTGTGATCAGTCAAGTGCAAGAAATTCAAGTGATCTTGCATGAAATTCAGGCTGAAGGAATGAACTTGAGTGAAATCTTCCAAGTGGCTGTTATTATTGAAAAGCTACCTCCTAGGTGGAAGAATTTCAAGAACTATCTCAAGCACAAGCGAAAGGAAACGAACTTGGAAGAGCTGATTGTTAGACTTCGAATCGAAGAAGGCAATAGAGGATCTGAACGCAAAGGGTTCAATCCTACTACAGCTAAGGCAAATGTTGTGGAGCTTAGGCAAGGCCACAAGAACAAGAAGATTGTCAAGCCAAAGTTGGGACCAAAAGGAGGAATTTCCAAGAACAAGTTTCAAGGAAAATGCTTCAACTGTGGCAAAATGGGGCATAGATCTGTGGATTGCAGACTTCCGAAAAAGAAGAATTATGAGACAAATATGGTGAATGGCATCGCTCAAGACGTGTCAAACATAAACCTTTCTGCAACGATTTCTGAAGTAAACTTAATTGGGTCCAATCCGAAGGAATGGTGGATTGACACTGGTGCCACTAGGCACATATGCTCTAACAAGGACCTGTTCACAAATCTTGAACCAATTAATGGGGAAAAGGTTTTTATGGGAAACTCTGCCTCTTCTGCTGTCGAAGGCCAAGGGAAGGTGTTGCTGAAGATGACATCTGGAAAAGAGCTGACTCTGAACAATGTCCTATATGTGCCAGAAATTCGAAAGAACCTGGTCTCTGGGTCTCTGTTGAACAAGCATGGATTTCGTATGGTGTTCGAGTCAGACAAAGTTATTTTGTCTAAATCTGGAATGTATGTGGGGAAGGGATATGTATCTGATGGGCTTTTTAAGTTCAATGTAATGACAATTATCAATAAAGATAATAAGCCTTCCGTTTATTTGCTTGAGTCTTCCAACTTATGGCATGATAGACTAGGACATGTTAATTATGATACATTGCGTAGATTAATTAACTTGGAACATATACCTTCATTCCAAATTGATTCAAAACATAAATGTGAAATTTGTGTTGAGGCAAAATTAACGAGATCATCATTTCAAACAATTGAAAGAAACACCGAACCCCTTGAATTAATTCATAGTGATGTCTGCGATTTGAAATTCATTCAAACGAGAGGTGGTAATAAATATTTTATTACTTTTATCGATGATAACACCAAAAAATGCTACGTGTATTTGCTTAAAAGCAAAGATGAAGCCTTAGAGAAATTTGTTCTCTAGAAGAATGAAGTTGAAAATCAACTCAATAAGAAAATTAAAAGATTGAGAAGTAATAGAAGTGGCGAGTATGAAGCACCAATTGGTGAATTCTGTGCACAACATGGAATTATACATGAAGTAACTGCGCCTTACTCTCCTCAATCAAATGGTGTTGCTGAACGTAAAAATCGCACATTGAAAGAAATGATGAATGCGATATTACTAAATTCAGGTTTGCCTCAAAATATGTGAGGAGAAGCTATTTTGTCAAGCAATTACCTTTTAAACAAGGTACCTCGAAAGAAAGAGGATAAAACCCCTTATGAGTTATGGAAAGGTAGGAGACCATCCTACAAACACTTACGAGTGTGGGGGTGTCTTGCAAAAGTGGCGGTTCCAACACCAAAGAAAACAAAGATAGGTCCTAAAACGGTGGACTGTATCTTTATAGGCTATGCACATAACAGTAATGCATATCGATTTCTTGTACATGAATCTAAAATTCCAGATATACACAAGAATACGATAATGGAATCTAGGAATGCATCATTCTTTGAAAATGTATTTCCTTATAAATCCAATGATGGATCAAGTTCATCTAAACGAAAGAATGAAACTATGAATGAAGAAAGTCATGATTCGGCTCATGAAATTCATGACTCAGATCATGAACTAGAACCGAGACGTAGCAAAAGAGCAAGAGTGGAAAAATCTTTTGGAAATGATTTTCTAACTTATTTGTTAGAAAAGGAACCATTAAATTATGCAGAAGCTATGAATTCTTCTGAGGGACCTCTATGGAAAGAAGCAATAAAAAGTGAAGTTGATTCTATTTTGCAGAATCATACTTGGGAGCTAGTGAATCTTCCTCCTGGTTGTAAGCCTTTAAAGTCCAAATGGATTTTTAAAAAGAAAATAAAAGCAACTGGCTCCATTGATAAGTATAAAGGCAGACTTGTGATCAAAGGATACAAATAACGAGAAGGCTTAGATTACTTTTATACTTATGCTCCTATGACGAGAATAACCTCCATTAGGATGATAATTGCAATTGCAGCATTGCGAAATCTAGAAGTACATCAAATGTATGTAAAAACAGCTTTCCTAAATGGTGATTTGGATGAAGAAATCTACATGGAACAACCTGAGGGTTTTATAGTTCCAAGACAAGAAAGGAAAGTCTGTAAATTGGTGAAATCATTGTATGGCCTAAAACAAGCACCAAAGCAGTGGCATGAAAAGTTTGATAATGCAATGATTACCAATGGTTTTAAGATTAATGAATGTGATAAATGTGTCTACATTAAAGAGACAACAAATGGCTATGTCATTTTGTGTCTTTACGTAGATGACATACTAATTGTTGGTAGTGATGATAAAATGATCAAATCTACCAAGTATATGTTGAATTCAAGATTTGACATGAAAGATATGGGACCTACTGATATGATTTTAGAAATTAAAATCACAATAACGTCAGAAGGTCTTATTTTAAACCGGTCACACTATGTGGACAAGATTCTTGAAAAATTCAACATGAATGATTCTGGTATTGCTAGAACACCATTAGACAATAGTCTTCATCTGTCCAAGAATAGAGGAGAGGGTATTTCTCAAGTAGAGTACTCTAGAGTTGTTGGAAGTCTAATGTACTTAATGAGTTGTACTAGACCAGACATTGCCTATACGGTTAGTAAATTGAGTAAATATACGAGCAATCCGAGTGCTGACCATTGGAAAGCAATTGTGAGAGTATTTAGGTACTTACGATATACTCGGAATTATGGCCTGCATTATACCAGATACCCAGCTGTTCTAGAAGGATATAGTGATGCGAACTGGATATCTGATATAAAAGACTCAAAATCTACTAGTGGATATGTATTCACACTAGCAGGAACAGCTGTATCTTGGAAATCCTGTAAACAAACTGTTATAGCCATATCCACAATGGAATCTGA